TTAAGAGATTTTCTGCACTAGGTTTAAGGAGTGTGTATTTTTTGTGTCCGTTGTGCTCCGATTTCCCCCTCAAAGTAATTATCTATTAATTGATAAAATAATCCAGATAATTAAGCTTAAATAAGTTTGGATAAAGTCAGATTGTTATTATGTTTTTTTTGTTCTATTTCTCAGATGGGAGATTCTAATATCAGATTTGACTCGTACCAGCCTCGTACCTACCTAACATTAAGTTCTCCGTTAAAATCATGCCATGTGTCCCAAAATTTAATTAATTAATAAAATAATTAAAAAACAAGCTTGGATAAATATTAAAGTACCCTTACTTAAAAAAAATTATAAACTAGGGTGATTAACTATTATGATATTATTGTTAGACCCTAATGACATGTACATATTCCAATTAGGCAACGACTTGAAATTAAATTGCATTCTATCTTCAACACAATCAATCATCTTCATCTTCAACACAATTAGGCGTGACGCATAAAAAAAAAAGGATCTTTCTTCCCCGTCGAAGTGAAAAGCTTGCTTTGAATGATTCTGTATTCAATCATTAATCGGCATCATGAAAACAGAATTTATGATGAATTAGATGAGTCGATCTTCAAATAAAGTCCGGGTAAATGTTATTTGGTTTGCTTATGCTTCATATTCTGAATTCTGAAATCAAATTGTCAATCAATTCTGAAATCATATTCTGAAATCATATTAATAACGATTTGATGATATATTGAATATCCCTTTCCAAAACGATCGGTGATATTTATTTAAGGCTGATAAAAATCGATAAATTGAGGTAAATATTTTGAATGTCAATCGCATTCTGTATTGCACGTATTTATCCGATATGTTCATTAGAAATATTACTAATTAATAATGTGTTCGAAATTTGATGTGCTGCTATTCCTTCATCTGGCTATGCAAATTATGTTGGCTAGCAATGAAATATTTTATGTGAGTGTGCGGTTGATTTAAGTGATTACATTGCTGTATTTGTTCTTTTATTTAATAGGCACTGTACATGCTCGAAGAAATGTATGAATGAGGATGATGACCCTGTTTATATATCTTGTTGTGTTGGTGTTGTGCAATGATTTGAGATCTTTGTTGAAGTCATGACGAGTGCCAGTATTTGCCCGTTGAAGATCAATGACGCATGCAACCATACATATAATACGAATGCTTATTTGAAACAATACAATTGTTTTGCTGTAGTTTGCTTAAGGGTTAATTGCTAAATAAATCTTAACCTTTTTGCGTTTGACAATTTTATCTCAATCTTTAGGTAATTACAATATAATCTCGACCTCAATTTACTTATTGCAAGTCGAACCTAAAACCGGTTGGACCTTCAAGAAACTGGTCGATTTGAAGGCGGTTCGAACAGATCGAATCTCATATTTATCGGTTCACTCCAGATCTAGGAGGAGACTCATAACCGGTAGCTTACATTGACGTGGAATTTTTTACTTTGTGCATGGATATACATTATATACGTGAAAATTGTCAACTTACTACGTGCATGACATAAAAACCCATGTCAATGGAAGACTTGGACCCAAAATCGATCCACAAATCTCTAAAATCAATCACTATGGACTCAAATTTGCAATAAGTAAATTGAGGTCGAGATTATATTGTAATTACCCAAAAATTTGGATAAAATTGCCAAACGCAAAAAGGTTATGGTTTATTTAGCAATTAACCCTTTGCTTAAATATTCGATAAAAAGATTGGCGCTTGTATTGCTGAGCATTTGTACAATTCGATTGCTCTGAAAATGTGTTATGTTACTATTTGCAACGAGTAATAAATGTATATTTCATCAATTTTGAAAGTGTTTGTATCGTGGTTTATCAATGTCAGTGCCCATTTTGTTTCTCTTGATAATATTGTTGTGGAATGTATGGCTAAAAGAGAGGGGGAATCTCATAAACACTTGAAACATATATTCTGGGTTTGAGGATGTGAATAGGCAACGTAGATAGCAGCTGTGAGATGGTATCTTTTGAAAGGAGTGCAATCTGGTTGGAATGATATTTGGTGCATATTGAACTATAAGAATCCGGTGGCCAAATTCAATAACAAGC